CACAATTTGTGTAACGTAGCAAATTACGCAAATTTTCGAAAATCTGTCGGTTTACGGACACACTGACACCCAGGAAATCCCAATCCCAATCTCTTGTTGCCCATATGTTCAACATTTAAAAAAATTAGCATTAAACCAACTGAATAGAATTTTGCTGGACATTACTTAAAGTAAAAAGTATACATTTAAAACAAGATATGGTACACTAATTTTACACATTTGGCGATTTATTGTTCACATTGTAGGCAATTCTCTTTGACATTAAAATCAATGAAAGTTAAACTTATAAACAGTGACAAAGCAAGCATTGTTCATTTTTTGTTCCATGCAAAGCAAATAGTTTAATGCTTATTGAATGAAAAACGATATACATGAGGATAAATGACACAAAAGAGTTAGTAGTTAAGTAAAGGATAAAGTGTGATAAAGGTGTTAGACAAAGTGATATTTACATGGCATGCACTATGAGTATATTAGAATCAAATGATAATAATTACAATAAGAAAGCTAGTGATGAAATTTTCGTACGTTACTTTTTGGATGAAAACGAATTACAATAATAAATTCATGGCGGGGCTAAATACACTAAAAGAATGCAACAAAAGTACAAAATCTAACATAAGTCATTGTTCAGATCAATAATTTTTAGATGCTTGCAATTTGCATAATGAGATATTTATTTCCATCTAAACATACACATTTCCTAAGGGTAACATTTCGGCAATGGCTCTAGATCGTGGTTCAATCATTGAAGGAAGATATGACCATGACGAACTTCGCCCCATTTCAAAATATTCCACTGATTTAAGTTGTTTACCTTTATCATTGTCTCCTCCAATGACAACAATTGCATTTCCCGTCAAAACAGCACACCCCCTCTCTCTTTTTTCCAGCATGGGTGGCAAAATAGTTGTCTTACCCGTGCTACTGTCATACATAATGACACTGTTTGAGCTACAAGAATGAACACCTCCAAGAAGAACAACTTGATCTCTCCATCGAACAGTTGCCATTCTTGTCAGTGGGTGAGGTAATGGAGGCATTTTCTTGAATGTCAGAGTTCTTGGATCAAACTCCGAAACATTAGATAAAGCTTTTTCATCTTTTCCATTTCCTCCAAAAATAAGAACCTTATCACCAACGACCTCAGCTCCATGGTCAAACAGTGGTTCAGGCATATGACACAACTCTTTCAAGACGGGAAATGGAGTACCTGTAATTTGCAATTCACTTATCATATCAGATGTTTTTTGTTTATCTTCATTATATCCTCCAATGTACAGAACTTGCTCTTTGTAAACAACAGTTTTATGACTGAAAATTTTAAAAGGAAGCTCTTCAGGAAATGTCTGCCATGTCAGAGGATGCCGGTTAAGATTTAGTATCTCAGTTGAATTAAAATCACATCCTCCAACAACGAATAAATTATCATTGTAAACAAATGATGAAGCAGCCCAGTGTCCAATTTTCATCTTTGCACTCTCAAACCATTTCTCTTCCTTCCATAAAAATATTTCTACATTCTTTGAGCGACCTCGTGGGTAGCCTCCAGCAACCAATACATCTTTTCTTACCACGCTCATCACTGACTCAATTGATGAAGGCAATGTTAGAACAAGATTTTGTATCACATCTTTTCCAAAATTGAAAGAACTTGGATTCTGTCACTGTAGAAAGATTTTGTCGAACATCTTTTATTTCTTTCCTTGATTGCATTATTTCTTTGGTTACTGTAGAAAGATTTTGTCGAACATCTTTTATTTCTTCCCTTGATTCCATCATTTCTTCGGTTACTGTAGAAAGATTTTGTCGAACATCTTTTATTTCTTTCCTTGATTCTGTTATTTCACATTGCATACGTGAAAATTGGGTTTTTGATGGCTCTGCTGTCTCTTTTATTGCTCCATTTATTCCAACAAAGCTTTGATTCATTTGTGCATTCAATTCCACCATTTTCATTTTCGCTTGAGCTTCATGATTAACAATTTGTTGAAACATTTCTTTAATCTCTATAAAGTCATAAGAAGGAATTTTTCGGTATTCACATAACTCAGTTTCATGTTTAATCTTGTCTCGTTTGTTTATCACCTGTCCACAACGTTCATTAGAACACAACACCGGAGCAAAGCCACAATTTTCAACGTGACTTTGAAGATCTTGAACCGTTATAATTTCAGGACATCCACGACTAGCGAATTCGCAACCAATTTTTAGCTTAGAAATAGTATTATCGACAAAGCGCGCGGAAAGAAGTGTAGCTACACTCAACTTTTCTTGACATTGGGGACACTTTTGTGCATTTACGCGTAGATGCTCTTCAATGCAACAACGACAAAAGATATGTTCTGTTTGGTGACACATTCTGGCATCTTTAACGACTTTGAGGCAAATCATACAGAGAAAATAATTGTCAACAGTGGTCTGAAATCTTCTTACTTCATATCCACCTTTGTAATGAGTTGGACGGCGAGCCATTACACAAGTCTTCTTACACAATACTCTATAAAATACTGTATTATTTTTTGTGGACGTTTGATAGACGTGGAAGATGTAAGCAAATAATAACAACACATAGTTTTATATTTAGGGAATATAAGGTAGAGCAAAGCAAAAATAAAAGGCGACGCCACAACGACCCTTGTTGCTTCGCAACTTCTAGCACTCGACAAACTCAATTAAGTCAGTATATATCATGCATATATGAATATATTTCTCCGGCCATGAACCACAATAAACTTTCACAAATAACAAACTAGAGACTTTAGCATTCCAATTAAACTAGTATAACATTTACATGAAACTACTACAGACTTAACTATTGGCATTTAAGCGCCACGTATAAAACTACCACTCATTCGATTAACAGGTTTGTAAGAACCTGTCCGATTTTCAATAAAAATTACAAATGAAGTTACTATTTATAATTCAACATTCTCCCTCTATGATATCATCCTTTTAATGACATAATGATATCAGGTAGTTTGTGCATCCGTAGCTGAGAAGCATATACAAACTAAAAACTTTCAGCAGAAAATAATACGTTCACACGTTCGATTTGCTACCGTGTGTGTCCACTGTAAACATGAACGTAAGGCATGTGATGTAACACTCTTAGGGCGCAAAATTTCATAGAATGGTATCTTTATTTCATTTATATCGTCTTTCATAGTCACCTGTCGCCGGCAATTTTAAGTAAAACTGTCAGTAACTTTGCACTGAACTGCAAAGCGGTCAAAACGCGACTTGATTCGTAACAACGTAATATAGTTTAACAGATTGAGCTGACTATCTATCTATAAGCGTGCGGTGAGTAGAGCGTGTTAAATATGTTTTCGTCTCATCGACGGCAGAGCAATGTTGTAATCTATAAAACGTTATAGTGATTGCTAATTGTAGGACGAAACTTAGAAATTAACAAGTTCAAAATTTATAAGTTCAAAATTTAGAAATTTACAAATTCATCAAACTTCTGAGAAAACTCGGATTAAAATCTTTTAGGAAAGGCCTTTTTTGAGCAATTAATTTTCTAGAAGTTCTTGATGAAAATTTCTTGAGTTACGTTTTCCAAGGCATTGTAAGAGTACGTTCATAACGTCTCATGTTTAAGCAACCATATTCACTTTAAAGGAGCTGATTGACCAAACAGCAATTGCAATTCTCAATTCCTTTTGCGTTTATCATTATCGCAAATTCTTCGGCATAACAGCCCAACTAATATATTTAGTAGCATAAATTCCCCATAACTTATTTGATTGTCTTCTATATTAAAAACTTGTTCTTCACTTCCAATACTACATGAATGTTAACTTTCAGCATTTCAGCAATTTATGTTTTCATGAAGTGAAATTTAGACGTTTCAAAAAATTTGAATGCTTCCTTTGTGGTGAGTTTGTTCATGGGCATAATTTCAGCAACAATAAAGTTCCAAAGGATAATCTAATCTTAAGAAATATATTTGCAATAAATGCATACGTGTCAGACCTTTTGAATATACTGAAGGCTTCCTAAAGAGGAAGAGACATAAGAGGCTTTTCAGGAATGAGAGTAGGAGCCGGTATAGATAACCTCTAGTTTAAACAATTTAATCCTAAAAGGATTAGTTATTGTAAAGTGTGTAGTCAGATAGCACACAATGGTGGTGGGCAGAATAGCTTTAGTAGTAAGGGAAATGAAGAAGATAAAAGCAGCTCATGAAGCAAAATGATGGAAAATAAAAAAGGAAGGTGTCGTTTTTAGAGAAGAGTCAAAGCATGCTGTTAATGTTTAAAATTAGCTTCCAGATAACTACAGTCTGAGTGTATACACAGGAAAAAGTCAGCAAAAAACAAATGGGATAGCAAGAGGACAGAATAGAAGAAACTTGAGTACGGGATGATATGTCATAAGGTAGAATTAAGAAAGGCTATACAAGGGGACTACGATGACTTGAATGATTAATGGAATGGTAGTGAAAAAAAATATTCTATACAGACTAACAAAAGAAATAAAATATATAAGATACATAGAATGTGTAGGTCATAATGCATAGGGGTGTAAATGTATTTAAAGAAACCAGAAATATAATAGGAAGATGGCTATACTTCAAAGAGTGATGAATGATAAAATAAGGAGAGCTAACAGTAGAGTGTTAGTTAATGTAGACCTGTAAGTTGCAGATATTAGTAAGGATGAGTTAGGAGTGTAATAAAGAAAATAAGGAGTGATAAAGCCTTTGTCATGATGCTATCTCCGTGAAAGTGTGGAAATGTCTACAAAAGGAATATGTCGAGTTTTTCTGTTGAATGATTCACTTGAGTTATCCTTAACAGAAGAAGCAGAAAGAGAAAAAAAATTAGGATAGCTGGACTTGAGCTATTGGTTTATACTCCATTATTTTCGTCCGTACTGATTAGAAAAAAACTTTAACACCATGCGTAACACATATTGTGCTTGAAATTTTAGCATTTTAACATAGTTTTGCATTGGACTTAAAAATTTGCGAATGTGAGGTTTGGCTTTAAAGGATTCGAACATTTAACAGGAAATTGTGCATATGCAGCTGCAAAACTTAATTTTTTATCAGTGCATATGAACAAGTTAAAAAGATGTACGACCTAAGCTATCAAGACAAGGTACGATCTAATGGTGACGTCACTTTATTTTGTCCTCTCCTCTTGAAATTCATAAGTAATATGAACATCAGCAAATTCCCGTTTGATACTCAAAACTTCATACTGAGAATTGGTTCCTGGACATACGATAGCTCTGTGTTGAATTTAGAATGGGTGCCGTTAACCTTAAATGACCCGAAAAGCAATTCTTATTAGTCTGTTTAATTTGTCGATGCTAAGCTTGCTACATTAAATCCTCATTTCACTTCCTAACACATTTTCAATTGAAAGAGTTAGGAAGTGAAAGTTCCATTCACTTCCTAACTTACATTTTCAATTGAAAAGAAAACTGTCATATTGCGTAGAGACGGTAATCATCCCTTCAATGTTGCCAACAATTTTGTCCTGTATCTCGTTTTTGTTTCCTGCAAATCTGGACAGAGAATATCGCTTGGGATGTCAGTTGTGATTGCCATATTTGTATTTATGATTATCGTAAACGACAGGACGCCGGTCTCCTCCTAATGTACACAGGTGTTGACCAATTTCTTTATTTCCGTCTAGATCATTGCTCTTCGAAGATGCATTTATATGGTATCTAAACAACATGCAGTATTCTTAACAAATACCTCAGCGTCTGGCGTTCATAAGAGACAAAATTGCAAGTAAACTGCGCATCAAATGTATTAAGCAACAATCATCACAAACTGCAGAGACTAATTTTGGAGACCCATCGTTGCTTGGGAATCATGTATTCGAAATAATCTTTCCATTTAAAAGAAAATCTGACTAAATTATTCGAAAAGCATAAATACAATATTTTAAAAGTACATGCATTATGATGCATTAAAGATAATGTCATTAAGTTGTAAAGGCATTTTATAATCCTTCGACAAAAAATGATGATGACGATCTCGTTCTCCCACCCTCTCTCTTGTTCACTCACACTCTCCTTCGTTTACTCATACACTCTCACCTTCTCCCCTTCCTTCCATTCCTTCCATTCCTTCCATTCCATTCCTTCATTCCATTCCTCCCTTCCATTCCTTTACTTCCACCATTCCATTCCATTCCCTTCCATTCCTTCCATTCCTTCCATTCCTCCATTCCATTCCTTTATTCCATTCCATTCCTCCCATTCCTTCCATTCCATCATTCCTCTCCTCCACTCATCACTCTCCTTTACTCATACTCTCCCGCATTCCCTCACACGCTACTTTTGGGTGTCCCAACAAAAATGAAACTTCTGTGAATTAATTACAAATTCACTGAAATGAATACGCACAATAATGTTACTAACATTAAAAACAATTTGATGAACTTAACAATTCTGCTTTTTTGGGATTTTAAATGGTTTGTAAGCTAAAAGGACAGTATACACAGATTTATATGTCAAGTTTATTGGCTAAAAGCTTTGAAACGTCAAAGCAACATTAACTTGATTAGCTATAACAGGTGCAAAAGTCGAAAACGTTATCATATATTATTATAACTTGCTACAAACATGGTCAAGCGTATAACTAAATTTACAAAGCGGAACTTATAGCTAATGCAGACTAAATTATCTAATACATTATTTTATTTGAATGCTTGTTTCATTACTTTTGCAGGATCCGTTATTTAAAAAATGAGCGTTCGTATATACAAGAAAATATTTATACAATCCGAACAAAGTGTGGGAGGAATGTTTCAACGCATCAATTTTACCATGAAATATGGAAATTTCCAACTTCTTGTAATTGTCTCATTGATTTTCAAGCGTCTTGAAAATTCTTTCCCTTGAGTGCTACGTTAATTTTGCAAAGTAATGGAACAATCGCACAACTATACACTATTTTAACTCATTTTGAAACTAGGCCTTTAACCGAAAGTGATATTTAATGAATAAGAGGTTCAAAAATCAGCATTTTTTTAAACAGTAATAACTCAACCACCGTTCAAAATATTGAGCTCAAACTTTTCATGTGTTCATGTTGTACATATATCTATCCTTTGTGGAAAAATGTGCAAAATCGAAAATTTGGGATTACATTTTGTCAAAAAATCTGCCTCACTGAAATAGAGGAAGCATATACAGAGCCTCAGCTGCGCAGACATTTTCTGGAGGCCTTTCCCGAGCGGCTCATGGTTACGAATACGTTTGCAGTGCAGATTCGAGTAAGGGCTGTCTGCGGGCAACATGCTGTCCTGGCGGGGCGTTTGTGTATAGAAGAAAGTTCTGTAGAGGGGCTTTTGAACCATTAAGGGGGGTGTTTGGCGAAGACACTCTAGCTAATGATCAGAAGGTGCTCGAGCTCGAACTCTGACCATAGGCGTTCATCCTGACGATTTCGAAGCTGAAGAGAAGTCACCTACGACACGTCGTAGTGTTGAAGCCATCGTCCTGACAAAGCATGGTCATGTTTCAACG